CCCCTGTTGCTGTGCTGTCCTCCGCGGCTCCGAAGCTCCCCGCTCCGCCTCCCGCAGTCTCTGCCCGCGAAGGGGCTTCCTAGTGTGTGGAGACCTTTCCTCCTTCACAGCTCCCTCCCACTGGTGCAGGTGCCGTCCCTATTCTATTGTCTCTGTTTTTAATTAATTTTTTCTTTTGCCCTACCCAGATATGTGGGGAGTTTCTTGCCTTTTGGGAGGTCTGAGGTCTTCTGCCAGCGTTCAGTAGGTGTTCTGTAGGAGCTGTTCCACATGTAGATGTATTTCTGGTGTATCTGTGGGGAGGAAGGTGATCTCCGTGTCTTACTCCTCCGCCCCCCCAGGGGGATTCTTAACCACTGCACCACTGCACCACGAGGGAAGTCCCTCTCCTTTCCCAATTTTTTTTTTTGGCGGTAGGCGGGCCTCTCACTGTTGTGGTCTCTCCCATTGCGGAGCACAGGCTCCGGACGCGCAGGCTCAGCGGCCATGGCTCACGGGCCCAGCCGCTCCGCGGCATGTGGGATCTTCCCGGACCGGGGCACGAACCTGTGTCCCCTGCATCGGCAGGCGGACTCTCAACCACTGCGCCACTGGGGAAACCCTCCTTTCCCAATTTTTATACCTCCTATTACTTTCTTTCATCTAGTTGCAACCACTAGTACTTTTTCTTTTGTTTAGTGTGAAGGTAAGGTATGGCCTGTTTGTGCCACCTAAGAATGTTGCACTTAAAATCTTTTAATTTTTTAAAAATATATTTTAGAAATTACTTCTGAAGAAGTTTCTACTATACGGTGGATATCATCTGTGGAAGCAAAGATTGAAGATAAAAAAGTTAAAAGAGAAAATAAACTAACTTCAGGAAAGTTGGAGCAGCTCAGAAAAGAAAAGGTTAGAAAAATGTCTTCATTCCAATTGTTTTTCTGGCCTAATGACTTTTACACTATCCTTGAGTTATTCTGTTGGTAAAAGCGAGTATGGTTTTGTTTAGAAGATTACGTACATTAGATTAGATTTTACTTTAATGGAAACTTAAATCAAAGTAGTGTTTGTGCTGTGGCTGAAAGTTTTAAAGTTTAAAATTCTTGAAAGTATCTTGAAATTTTGAAACTTAGGTCAAAATTGATGATGTGTTTAGAATTAAATTTAAAAAATTTTTTATTCCCTTTTGATAAACATGAAATTGGCCCCCTTTCTCCTTTATGTTAAGCTCACACTGGTTTAGAAGGATTTCCTCTGACAGGGATTTGAGAGTTAGAATTCTTAAGAAACCTATTTTATGACTTGGGACTAGGAGGAGTAGAATTCAGAAGAAACAACAACAAATATGCCGTTGTTGCGTTTGCTGCCCTCCTGCTGTATTGCAGATGGAGAGTATTGTTCAGCTCAGTTAGTAATCCCGAATCTAGAATTTGGCTGTCTGGATCAGAGAATGGGAAAACAAAAAAAATCGACATCACTTGATTCTGCTTTTGGCACTCAGTCTTAATAAGTAGAGTTTAGGGTAGATCATTAAAAAGCATTGGCACTTGTCTGCTAAGTGCCATATAAAGACAATAGATTGATTCAGTGCCTGCCTTCTAGAAGTTTATATAAGATTGTGACTGTGACAGTAGCACATTAATATGAATAACACATTATTCATGGCATTGACACATTAATATGAGGAAAGTGTGGATAGATAGGTTTCATTGTTATGAAGGTCTTCCTTTTGTGAAAGGGCACGAATTATACCTAATATCTGTATCTTGTAGGGATTGGAATTTAACCAGAAAGTTTCATATGTTACTAAAGCTTATCTCAGAAACCATTACTATTGCTTTACAACATCTGACACTGTATTTGACCACATTCATGGCGTCTCCTTTATTTCACTTTTCAGATAAACTTCTTCCGGAATAAACATAAAATTCATGTCCAAGGAACTGATCTTCCTGACCCAATTGCTACATTTCAGCAACTTGACCAGGAATTTAAAATCAATTCTCGACTGCTTCAGAACATTCTAGATGCAGGCTTCCAGATACCTACGCCAATCCAAATGCAAGCCATTCCAGTTATGCTGCACGTGAGTATGAAGGCCTATAAGTGAGTATGCGTGAATGTGTATGTGTGTGTGTGTTCATTCTCTTTCCTCTGTCTTTGAAATCTTCCTTTCTGCCTTATCTCCCCTTGTTGAAATCCTACCCTTGATTTCAAGGTCCGTCTCTAATACCTGTGCCTCCATAAGATTTGTCTTGGTCACTACTGTTAGATGTGATCTTTTTCCTTTACCAGCACTGTTTCCCCTACCACCCAGTTTTCCATGTGTTTTCTTTTTCTTGCAACATTTGTCTTACACTTTACACTATTATGTATTTGCACTAATTATATTCATCTTTTCCATTTAACTAAGAGTGTCAATCTTCTGAAGGTGGGGACTATATTCTGTTTTTTCATCCATGATTTAGTTTGTAATATTCAAGAACTATTTCAGAAATACAGAGTTCTTGTACATAACCTGACTTTGTTTTTATCCCAGTACTTTTTATTATTGAAGTCTATTTAAGTACCCAAAAAATGCATAGATTTTAAGTGCACAGTTCAGTGAGTTTCAACAGTGCATACCCTATGTAACCATCAACTCAGTGAAGATGTGTAACATTTCTGTCACTCCAGACAGTTCTCTCATACCCCTTCCATTCAGTCCTCACCTGACCCCCGCCCAGAGGTAAGCACTTTTCTGGTTTCTATTGCCATGTTTAAGTTTTGCCTCTTATAGAATCATGTAAGTGGAATCATTCATTATTTACTCTTTTTGGTTTCTTTCACTCTAATACAGTTTTTGAGATTCCTCCATGTTGCATATATCAGTAGTTTGTTACTGAGTAGTATTCTGTTGTATGAATATACCATAATTTGTTTATGTGTTGTTGATAGAGGTATGAGTTAACTTAGACTTTTGGAAATTAAGTTTTTCTGAGGTTTCTTTTTGTAGTGGTGAGAGCTGACTTTTTTCCCCAACATAACCAAGATGGCCTTCAGTTCTAGTAGCCAAAGGATATGAGTTCCCTCTCTTCTCATCCATACTAATCCTTCTCATTTTCTTTGGGAACTGAAATAAGAATACATTTGAATGATGTTGTTGACTGACGTTATAGTAAATTTGCTTTTAGTTTTCATTTAAGGTTGTTTCTGTAGTGACCTTAACTTAAAGCTTTAAAAATCACAGTGACAAAAAAAAAAAAAAATCACCGTGACTTTTCAAAGATTGTCACCTATAAATGACTCTGTCGCTCAGGTTTTCAGCACTTTTTTTTTTTTTTTTTTGCGGTCCGGGGGCCGCTCACTATTGTGGCCTCTCCCGTTGCGGAGCACAGGCTCCGGACGCGCAGGCTCAGCGGCCATGGCTCACGGGCCCAGCCGCTCCGCGGCATGTGGGATCTTCCCGGACCGGGGCACGAACCCGTGTCCCCTGCATTGGCAGGTGGACTCTCAACCACTGCGCCACCAGGGAAGCCCTCACCACTTTTTATTTCCTACTTTTAGCCATTCTGTTATTTATTAAAACCTTCCTTAAGGTTGGAGCAATGCAGATATCAGGTCAAAAAGTTGGTTTTGTAATTTTGCTTTGATAAAGAGGTTTAAGGGAAAGAAAAATTGAAATAATGGAAATAAGGTTGTGAATCATCTTTGGGTTTTAGTTATCTACTTTCTTTACCCAGTTCAAATGAACTTTAGTAATAATGCTCAGAAACTCTATTGGGGCGGTTGTAGCAGGGGTGGGTAGAGAAAGAAGCAAATATAGGAGAAGTTAGAAGAGTGATGGGAATGTGAGTGTTTGGATTTATTATGTATAATTTTGTTATTTTTATGGCTGGTAGCATTATTTGACTGGCCTCTGAAAAATTTATGTACTCTTCCTTGTACTTAATATACTCTGTTTTTAGGGTCGAGAACTTCTGGCTTCTGCTCCTACTGGATCTGGAAAGACTTTGGCTTTTAGCATTCCTATTTTAATGCAGCTGAAACAACCCACAAACAAAGGCTTCAGAGCCCTGATTATATCACCAACACGAGAACTTGCCAGCCAGGTATGACTGGTACTTTCTGAAGAGGTTGTGTTTGTGTTTGTCAGTCATCTTTCTTATTTGAGGGTAATAGAAAGGTCCAAAAGAGTAAGGCCCGTGTCTTTCTCATGGTCACATATTCTGTTCAAAGCACACTTCTCTGTGTCTTACTGCATATGGGCAAGTCTTTTCAGTTTTATAAAATATGTTGTTCTTAACATTTATACTTTGGTATATGCTCTAAGATCCTTGAAGTTGGAAGGCTACTATCATATATAGTTCCCCTCTAAAACTTTTTTTTCTCACCTAGAAAAATGAAACCTCATCTCAGTTTTTGAGAAAGTAAAACTATACAATGGTCCACTCTACCCTCCCAATGTGCTTAATATAAAATACATGCCAAGTATGAAATAGTTTTGTAACAATACTGTATTCTACAAACAATATGTGACAGAATGGAAGAGTTTTGGTTTTATCTCTTGGAACTAGTTTACTAGACCGGAAGAAACTAATGAATCTTACTTAGTATTGACGTTCCAAAATGCTGAGATTCCAGGTTAATCTACAGATTACTATGGGCTTAATTTCAGGTATTCATGGGTTGATACTAGATTTATTTTGTTAATAATGAAAAAGAGACTATACATCTTATCCAAGTATTTTAGCAGCTAATGTTTTTATCATTTTCTGTTTTAGATTCACCGAGAGTTAGTAAAAATATCTGAGGGAACAGGATTCAGGATACACATGATCCACAAAGCAGCAGTTGCAGCCAAGAAATTTGGACCTAAATCATCTAAGAAGTTTGGTAAGCGGGTTCATGCTTGAGATGTAAGGGATTTAGAAATTACAAGTATCCTAATTGCTACCTAGAAGTTCTTAAAGTGCAGTTAGTTTGATTTTTAGAAAAGCTGAAAGAGATCTCCTCCTTACCCCCACCCAGTAGATATATAAATATATACCAGTGGTTCTCAACCAGAGGCGATTCTGCCCTTCACCCCCGCCTCACCCTCTACCCCAGGGATACTTGGCAATATCTGGAGACATTTTAAGTCATCACAACTGGGGAGAGGTGCTACTGGTATAGGGACAGAAGCCAGGGACGCTGTTAAACATCCTACAACACACAGGTCCGCCTCCTACAACAAGGAGTTGTCTGAACCAAAATGCCAGTAGTGCTGAGGTTGAGAATCCCTGCTTATTCTATTGATTGTTAATCTGCCATGGAAATATTCTGCAGATAAGATTGATTTACATCCCTACTCTTAGATCAGCCAGAGAATCTGTTTTACTTGTCTTTTATCTTGAGCTTCTGAGTAAAGTTGCATTTAAGGAAAGTATTTTCCTGAAAAACAAACAAATGTTTGATAAGCAAACTGGTGGATTATAGTATTCTTGCCTCTTAGAAGCTGAGAAAGCAGATCAAATAAAAGGAGAGTAAGGATATAGTAGTTTGTGCTATGATGGATTAAAAAAATATGTGTATTAGCTTATTGTGTTGTTGGTGTAGTGCATATAACCTGAGGTTATTAACGGAAATTCAGGAGACTTAATCCCCTAATTCAAGAGGGATGAATGTTGTTTTTGCAATTTGTACCATTTATTTTTCCTTATAGATATTCTTGTGACTACTCCAAATCGACTAATCTATTTATTAAAGCAAGATCCTCCAGGAATAGACTTAACAAGGTACATTACTTTAATAATGTCTTTTATGTGTGTTTTTCATTAAATTGATTATATTTTGTCCTCAGTTACTTGTATTATTGCTCTTTGGAGCTTGCTATGTTGATGCTGAGAAAAATGGTTTTCATTAAACTCATAGAAAAGTAACTGTCCTGGTCTGGAAGAAAGTTAACAGATTCCGATAAGCAGTTAGTACAGAATTCCCCTAGAAATTTTCACATCTTTCAGCAATGGTGATGGCGTCCATAAGGTTTATCTGAGCTTCTGTCATTGCCAGTGGAACCTCATATCTTTGGGGCTAATGGAATAGGTACATTAATTTATATTTATCTTGTTTTTACCTTTTTCTTGCTTATTTTTCTTATACCTTTTTCTGGTATGATATGTAGATCTGAGAAGCATCATTGTGGTTTGACTTCTTCATGTGTTCTCACAGGTAGTGAAGCACCTTGGATCTTTCAGTTCAATACCCACAAGTTTTTTTTGTTATTTCTTAGTGTTGAATGGCTGGTAGTAGATGAATCAGATAAACTGTTTGAAGATGGAAAAACTGGGTTCAGAGACCAGCTGGCTTCCATTTTCTTGGCCTGCACATCCCACAGGGTCAAAAGAGCTATGTTCAGTGCAACTTTTGCCTATGATGTTGAGCAGTGGTGCAGACTCAACTTGGATAATGTCATTACTGTTTCCATTGGAGCAAGGTAATTGTTCTTCCACATTATCCCACTCATTTTTTAAAAAAACACAAGTCATTATTTTAGACTAAAAGAGATAGGTTGTGTGGCCTAAGATTGATAAAAAGAGTTTGACTGAAAGAAATATATTCTTTAAAGTCAAGATTGATTAAGCATTTTCTCTTTTAGAATAATCCAAAGGGAGATTCTCATATTGTCATATTAATATTCCTATCCTCATGCATTTAGTTGGTTTTTCCAATCCACAAAGTATGACATGAGCTCTGTGGCCACCCAAAGGATTTAATCTCATTGATGGCTTAACAGAGTAGGGCCACAGAGAAGGAAGCTGATGTTACTGAGCCACTTGATTTATAATTGCTTTTTAAAAATATTTTGGGGAGCATTTATGCTAAATGGTAGCGAAAAGTCTTATGAAATTATGATATTGCCACTTGATTTACTATAATGCAACGCATAAAATGGTCAGAGTGAAGGTTGTAGCTATATGAAACAGTGCTTGTAGTACCATGTTAAGTAAAACAGAAGCCAAATGAAACAGTAAAGAATATCCTGTCTACTTTCAACATAAAACTCCTGTGTATAAAAAGAAAAATAGAACAGATTAACCATAAACATAATTATGAAGGCAGATAACAGAATGGAAAAAGTACTTATACATGGTATAGAGTGTTAATAAAGCCTAAAGATACCTCACCCCAATTGTTTGTCAATAAATAAACCTTTGCTAACCATTAAGAAAAAAATTTAGGCATATGTAACAACTCCCTTTAAAATGTTCTCATTTTACCCAATAATTTTACTTTTAGAAAGATTTTGTAAGTAATTAGACACATGAAAATTTATGACTAGAACACAACAAAATGTCAAAGTTTATTCTAAAATGGTAGAATTGTGGGTAATTTATTTTATTGTTTATGTCTTTATTTTTTTTAATTTTCTTGAGATAACATTTTTATAATCATAACAAAACATTCAAAGACCTAAATAGACATTTCTCCAAAGACATCCAGATGGCCAATAGACACATGAAAAGATGCTCAACGTCACTAATTATTAGAGAAATGCAAATCAAAAGTACAATGAGGTATCACCTCACACCAGTCAGAATGGCCATCATCAAAAAGTCTACAAAGAATAAATGCTAGAGGAACTAACACAACATTGTAAATCAACTATACTCCAATAAAAATTTAAAAAAGAAAAAGAATAAATGCTGGAGAGGGTGTGGAGAAAGGGAACCCTCTTACATTGTTGGTGGGAATGTAAATTGGTGCAGCCACTATGGAAAATAGTATGGAGGTTCCTTAAAAAACTAAAAATAGAGTTACCATATGATCCAGCAATCTCACTCCTGGGCATATATCCTGAGAAAACTATAATTCGAAAAGATACATGCACCCCAGTGTTCATAGCAGCACTATTTACAATAGCCAAGACATGGAAGCAACCTAAATGTCCATTGAGAGATGATGGGTAAAGAAGATGTGGTGTACACACACACACACTCAAACACACACAAACAGAGGAATATTATTCAGTCATAAAAAGGAATGAAATAATGCCATATAGCAACATGGATGGGCCCAGAGATTATCATACTAAGTGAAGTAAGTCAGACAGAGAAAGACAAATATCATATGATATCACTTATATGTGGAATCTATAAAGTAATACAAATGAACTTATTTACAATGCAGAAACAGGCTTACAGACATAGAAAACAAAGTTACAGTTACCAAAGGGGAGAGGCAGAGGTGGGGATAAATTAGGAGTTTGGGATTAGCAGATACAAACTACTGTATATAAAATAGATAAACAACAAGGTCCTACTGTATAGCACATGGAACTATATTCAATATCTTGTAATAAACTATAATGGAAAGGAATCTGAAAAATAATATATATATATATATATATATACACACACACACACACATATACACACATAACTGAATCACTTTGCTGTACACCTGAAACTAATATAGCATTGTAAATCAACTATACTTGGATTAAAAAATTTTAAAAAAGAATGAATGAAACATTAAAAAATAACAACTTTGTCTTTAAGTTAAAATATAAATAATTCAGTACTTATATTGACAGTGGAAAAGGTCATTCTGTTGTGTGTAAATTTTTTCATTTATTTAGAATTCAAGGGGGGAAACAAAAATTGACTCTTGCAAACTACAAGGGATGTTTTCTTCTTAGGAATTCTGCAGTAGAGACTGTAGAACAAGAGCTTCTCTTCGTTGGGTCTGAGACTGGAAAACTTCTGGCCATGAGAGAACTTGTTAAAAAGGTATGTTTGGACTACATTCTTGAGTTTTGTTAATGTTCACCAAGCCTTGTATTACTAGGTGTAATATTACTAGCAATTAATTGTATTACTAGCCTTGGAAGACGGATTTATTATGAGCGCTTAACTTCCTGGCAGACCCTTAATTGGGGCTCTGCTGGGTCTCCTGCCTCCTGTTGGCAGTTTTGGGGGTCTCTCTGTCTCAGCTTCTCCCTGCCCACACCCTAACTCCCATCCAGAACTGGCTGCAGGGCCCCCAGCTCTACTCCCTGTCCCCAGGTAGGGTGGTCAGTGCTGTGGCCTGGGTCCCTGAGCTGTGTGCTATTGAGGGGGTCCTGCCACAGGATTCCTGGGTGGGCCCCCCTCCGTGCCCTGGGTGTTTCCATATTTAAGCTGAAATAAAAGGTTTTAGAAACTTAAAAAAAAAAAAAAAGGGACGTTGAGTGCTATTCCTGCGTCATATTTAGTAATCCGGTGGTAAATCGGTAAGAAGCACATTGGAGCAACTTTTGTCTCGAAGGGGAGAGGCTCTCCTCTCAGAATATATTAAGATTTCTGTTCCTAGCTCGGGGTAGGCCAGGGAAAGACCTACCTGCTGCCCTGAATGCCTCCTTTTTCCACACCAGCACACTGCGGGTTCTGTTCCAGACCACCACAGTAAAGCCAATGTCACAATAAAGTGAGTCACAGGAATTTTCTGGTTTCCCAGTGTATAGAAAAGTTATGTTTACACTATATTGTAGTCTATTAAGTGTGCAATAGCATTATGTCTAAAAAACAATGTACATACCTTAACTTAAAAATACTTTATTGCTGAAAATGCTAACCATCACCTGAGCCTTCACTGAGTCATAGCAGTAACATTAAAGATCACTCACTGATCATAGATCACAACAGCAAATATAATAATAATGAAGAAGTTTGAAATACTGCGAGAATTACCACAATGTGATACAGAGACGTGAAGGGAGCAAATGCTGTTGGAAAAACATGGTGCCGATAGACTTGCTTGAACATTGAGTCGCCACAAACCTTCAATTCGTAAAAAACACGATATCTGCAAAGTGCAATTAAACAAAGTATGCCTGTATATATCTGCCCCTGAATCTCCCGCCATCACTCTGCTGGTTTCTTAGAGAACTGGGGCATTAATGAATAGGACACTAGAGTGGGGTTTTTTGTTTTATTAATGAGTTAATAGAAATATAGTACTTACAGTAGTGCTTGGCACGTAATAAATGCTATTATGTGCATGTTTTATTAATGTTCTTAAGGATATCATTTGGCAGTAGGAAATTTAAGGTTTTCACAGATACTCAAATGGAATTATTCACCAGAGATTTTTAGCCATGTATAAACTTCAGGCGTTCTGTGAACCTTCTGAAATTATATGTAACATTTTGTGTGAATGTGTGGTTGCCTGTTAGAAAGCTTCATAGCTTTCTTTCATTAGATTCTGAAAGGGTGAGTGGACCAAAATAATAAGGTTAAGCCCTAATGCTGACAGTCAAAAATATAGAAAGCTGGTTTGAGAGAGAGGTGGGGTTTGATGATATTAATGTAAAAAATAAAAATCATTTGCTTAGGGCTGCTGGTTGATAATGGAACTTGATAAGATAAAGATTACATTGAGAGAACTGAGAACCAAGGACTAAGCTTTGGGGAATACCCACAGTTAGGATAAATAACAGATTAAAATGACAGTTATTGGGACTTCCCTGGTGGTACAGTGGTTGAGAATCCGCCTGCCAATGCAGGGGACACGGGTTCGAGCCCTGGTCCAGGAAGATCTCACATGCCGTGGAGCAACTAAGCCTATGCACCACAACTACTGAGCCTGCGCTCTAGAGCCCGCAAGCCACAACTGCTGAAACCCATGCACCTGGAGCCCGTGCTCTGCAACAGGAGAAGCCACCACAATGAGAAGACCACACACCACAATGAAGAGTAGCCCCCGCTCACCGCAATTAGAGAAAACCCACACGCAACAACGAAGACCCAACGCAGCCAAAAATAAATTAAATAAATAAATTTATTTTTTTAAAAATGACAGCTATTACATTTTAAGAAGAAACAAAAGTGTTCTGAAGCACAGAAGCAATCATGATTATTTCAAAGAGTGGGCATCCATTGCTGTAGAAAGATGAAGGGGAATTAATTAGACAAGATTATTGGAATTAGATGGAGAGCCTGTACTCCACAACAAGAGAAAGAACCCATTGTAGAGAATGGATGGTGAGGAAGACAGAGGCAGACTTGGACCTCTGGTCTAAGAAATTTGTCAATTTCTAAATTAAAATGAACTAAAATCATATGAAATACTGCAGTTATATTCTTGATTATGGATTATGTATGCTTTCTTTTAGGGTTTCAATCCACCTGTTCTTGTTTTTGTTCAGTCCATTGAAAGGGCTAAAGAACTTTTTCATGAGCTCATATATGAAGGTATTAATGTGGATGTTATTCATGCAGACAGAACTCAGCAACAGGTAAAGTCAAATGCATACTTTCAAAGCAATAAAGAACAACTAAACTTTTTCAATTGGCATTAAATTTATGAAGTACTTGTTTTCCATTCCTAGAGTGCTACTAAAACATTTAATATATGTTCTGTTAACCAGAGAGATAACACAGTCCATAGCTTCAGAGCAGGAAAAATCTGGGTTCTTATTTGTACAGCCTTGCTAGCCAGAGGGATCGATTTTAAAGGTGTGAACTTGGTCATCAACTATGACTTTCCAACCAGCTCAGTGGAATATATCCACAGGATAGGTGAGTCGTGTGCCCCACCCCCCTACTCACCTCTCTTAGCACCACTACCAGTCCCTTCAGCATGCTCAAGTTTTTAGTGCTGTGAAAATCCAGTGACTTGTATATGTGATTCTTGAAGGTCCCATTCCGCCCAAAAGTAGGGTTTTTTTTAATGGTCTGATTTCTCTTAGGTCGAACTGGAAGAGCCGGGCATAAAGGAAAAGCTGTTACATTTTTCACTGAAGATGATAAACCATTATTAAGAAGGTAAATTAGGAGAAAAAACTTAGCATTAAGTTGCCAAAATTGATTCATTATTCTCATACACAGTTAACGGATAATTACAAAATGGCTGTGTCCCAGATTCTGTTATGGTATTGGTCAAACAAACCTTAGCCATGAAAAAAAGAAAAATGATCAAAGGGCCTCATTTTTGCCCTTCCACTGTTAGATTTTGGAAATATTCACAATGGAATATTCATTAAGTTTCAGACCCACGGGCTTCCTTGGTGGCACAGTGGTTAAGAATCTGCCTACCAATGCAGGGGACACGGGTTCGAGCCCTGGTCCAGGAAGATCCCACATTGCCGCGGAGCAACTAAGCCTGTGGGCCACAACTACTGAGCCTGCGCTCTAGAGCCTGCGAGCCACAACTACTGAGCCCATGTGCCAGAACTACTGAAGCCTGCGCACCTAGAGCTTGTACTCCACAACAAGAGAAGCCACCTTAATGAGAGGCCTGTGCACAACGAAGAGTAGCCCGCACTCGTTGCAACTAAAAAGAGCCCGTGCACAGTAACAGAGACCCAATGCAAGCAAAAATTAATTAATTAAAAAAAAAAAGTTTCAGACTCACAGAATTCTCCCAATAGCCTTCACTTGATATTACTCAAAATGTAATATTAAGGTTTTTGGATTAATTAATAGTTTAAAGTTAACCCCTGAGTCTCCTATAGCCCCGTCAAAATGATCTCTTAGCATGGGTGTATTCTTCCCATTACTCTTAGGGGCAGCTGGAGTTTTATGTTTAGTCCCAGGATCACCTGTCATAGAGGAAAAACTGTTTTAGTAACACACTCTGATATTCAGTTGTAGCCCTTTGAAGCCTGGGTAACCTATGATAGATACACTTTTAGAATCTTACCTTAATTTAGCCCATCGTCATAGATTTTAACATAGAAGCTGAGTTTCCTACATTTGGGCTGCCTACAGAAATTTTAGGCTGATGATAATTGGCAACAGTTCATATTTCTAACAAATGAAGTTGAGTTGTGGATGTAGGCGGTTTGTACTTTATTCTGTTTATCAGTTTTGGTGAAGATTTTGCTTCATGCCTTCTGAGCCTTGGCTCTGTCAGCCTTGATTTTGCTGTGATCAGACTTTCACATGTGGTGTGTAGGGGAGTACACTCCAACAGCCTAGATTCACCTGAGTTCTCAGCGACTCCAAGCATGTGCATCTGATGACCCCCATATCAGTGCAACTGTGTATCTCAGTTTTCCATCTGGGAAATGAGGATAATGATAGTATTTACTACAAAGGGTTGTAAGGATTGAATAAGTTACTACAGTAAGTCCCCTACATACAAACAAGTTCCGTTCCGAGAGTATGTCGTTAAGTCCAGTTTGTTCATAAATCCAACAAAGTTAGCCTAGGTACCCAGCTAACACAACCGGCTATATAGTACGTACTGTAATAGGTTTATAATAGTTTTCACACAAATAATACATAATAAACAAACCCCAAAATAAAACAGTTTTAATCTTACAGTACAGTACCTTGAAAAGTACAGTAGTACAGTACAACAGCTGGTGCTTCTTAGCAGTACCAGCTACATCACCGCTGCTTTTATGCTTGCTTCCGGACACCCTGGGCTTGAAACAAAGATACTGTGCTACTGTACTCTATACAGTACTGTACAGTAAAGTACACAAAAGCCAACCACTTGTAGAGGATGTATGCATATGACAATGTATGCCAGACGTGAACTAATTTACATGATTGGGCATGCGAACGCATGTTTACATCTTTGAAAGTTCAAAACTTGAAGGTTCATGTGTAGGGGACTTACTGTATACATGAGAAGCTTGAGACCATGTCAAGCTTTATCATTTAATAAATTTAAGTGTGACTGACTTCAGTCAGTGTCTCATCCAGTACTGGGCTTAGTAGCTTTTTAGGGCTTGTTAAATATTGAGTAGAAACAGCTGCTATCTAAAATTTTCATCAAGACATTGATTTCAGTCCAGCAGACCATTCTCTCAGTAATCCAATATGACTGCATCTGGTAATAATTGGTAATAATTTATCAGAACACTTTACTGGATTACTTTTTTGTTTGTGTAGTTTTAGTTCCTCTTGTATTGTGCAGAGGGTTTATGTACATAAACATCAGTTTGACAAGATACAAATTTATGTTTATGGGTACCTTTTTCAGTGTTGCCAATGTTATCCAGCAGGCCGGATGTCCTGTCCCAGAATACATAAAAGGTTTCCAAAAACTACTAAGGTACAATCTTGAATTTACCTGGAGCTTCTCTCTCTCTCTCTCTTTACATATATATTCTTGATTTCACACTCTTATACATTATAGTTGTAATAATACTACTATCTTTAGAACATTTTAAGATTAAAATTTTTCCTTTTAAATATTTGTGAATACTGTCTGTTCTTTCCCTGCCAATTTTTCATCCTTGAAATTTTAAGTATTCAGATTTTTAAAGTATTATTCAACATGAGTGAAATATGCTGAGATTTTGTTCTAATTCCTAAAACTGATAAAAAGCAGTTAATTGGCCAAAATCAAACTCTGGTGTTTGTTAGCACAAGATATAAGAGTGATACACGACATATTTTAATCATAATCAGTGCCTTTTAAAAAATTGGTTGAATTTATCATCCCTTTGGGTTACCTCTCTAGATGCTGTTAGGTAACCTAGTATATTAAAGTGGATACAGTGGTGTCACTGTAAACCTGTAAGTGCTGTAAGTGGATGAAGGAAATGAATTTTGTGAACCAAAGAACCAAAACTAGTTTTAGCTCTTTTAAATTAAGTTGCACTTAATTCAGTTCTTTCTTTGTAACTTTCAGTAAACAAAAGAAAAAGATGATTAAGAAGCCTTTGGAAAGGGAGAGCATTAGTACAACTCCAAAGTATTTCTTAGAAAAAGCTACGGATAAAGGGTAAGGATATGGTAAAAGTTACTGTTTGATTCTGGCATATTCTTATAACGTAAGCATTAGTTTTCCTTAGGATAGATTTTTAGAAGTAGAATTTGATAGGTCTATAGTCCATTATAGAATGTCATAAAAGTAATATATCTTAGGTTGCCTGAGATTTGCAAACTTGGATAATTCAATCTTGGAATTTTTCTTTATCTGTATATTAATGATCTGTTTTTCTCCATCTTTGAAAATATGATTTCAATTCACTATGAATTAGAATTGCACTGTCCACCATCTGCACACAGCCTGTACCTGGGCACACTACTGAGGCCAGTAGATAGGACTGCTGACTCACATTGATGGAGTCGTCCTTCAAGCTCCATACTCTGGGCAGGATTTCAGTAGGATCTTGGGCTTATGCTGAAGCACATTGTAACGCCTCTGAACAGTATGACTTGGGTAAATTTGTAGTCATTTAGCTGAGTTTTTGAGGATTTTAAAGCATAGATTTTTTTTTTTAGCATACACACAGGACTACCTTTTTTGCCTATTACTGCCAGGAAACTACATGATTTCATAGGGGTGGGCTAAAATATTCTGCACAGTACTATTCTTTCCACTATTTAAGGAAAAATGACACTCTTCAAATTCTATCAGTACCAATTAATATATAACATATATAAAATGTAGGCATTTACCAAGTACTACTGTTCACCTTCAGTCTTACTACATATATAATATGTAGTAAGGTGTATGAATGGATGTAAAATGAGACGACCCCTTTCCTGAAGTTAGGGAAAGGAGATTAATATACATGAAAAAAGTTAGATGATAATTTTTAAATAAAACAGAAGTTTAGAGAAGGGAAAAAATCATTATGGATTGGTGTAGTTACAGAAAGTTTCAAGGAAGTAGAATTATGTTCAAGGATGGGTAAAATTTAGGCATGTAGAAGGAAAAAGGTGAACCCAGGTGAGAAAATCTGCACTTTCCTTCTGAGTGAAAGAGTCTGCCTGACATTTTGTATTGATTGTGGGAAATAATGTTCAGCCCCAGTACATAGACTGTACAGAGTGTCCCAAAGGGTTTGGTGGTTTTAAGCTTTAATAACTTGGGAAGAATAAATGTTACAACCTTAGAAAACTACATCATTTGAAAGATTATTTTAATTTAACTTGTACTTACTCAGTTTTGTGCGTTCTTAATACATTTTTATTTTTATTCTTTGTGGCAACAGTTCCTGGGTGACAGACCAGTGGATTGGTAGAGAAGGTTGCCCTGCTTGGTCACCTTATCTGTCTCATTAGACTTTTTCTTGTGGTGGGCTGCTGCAGAATTGTTGTGTACACATCAGAACCTCATTCTTTGGGTGATCTTAAAGCTAGGATTGGAAATGCAGTCCTTTCAGGCACTGAGCCACAAAAAGCGGATAAAAGTTTTTACAAAGGTCGAAAATTGACTGGAGCATAAGATCATGGCTGTGTTGAACTGTAAGAATAAAATCAATATTTTAAATAATGACACTTTAATTGCTGATTTTTGTTAAGTTTGTAGCTTTTAATGATCTGAGGTTATTAAAACTTAAAGCTGCGCTAAGACTTTGAGGACACCTGGTATAAACCTTGTCACTGCTTAAGATGCTTTGGTTCTCTCTGTTTTCTTCACATTTAAAGCCCATACTTCTTAACATAGCATACAAACAAGACCTGATCTGAATCTAGCTTACCTTTCCACTGTAGATGTTGCTTTAATGATCCTACCCACACCTGTGGCCTCAGCTCTATGCTGATAAATCTTAAGTCCATATCTTCAAGCCCAGCTTCCCAACTGAGCTATAAACCTGAAGCCTGTTGCCTAGTGGGTGTCACTTCAGGCGCTGCAAACTCAAACTGGTGTAGTAGGGCGTAGGGGAGATTGGATTTGGAGCCAGAATAACTGGCTCTAATAACACCTTTTCCTGTGTGACTTTGGACAAGTCACTTCACCTCTCTAAGCCTCTTTCCGCCTATATAATGGGAATAGTTATATAAATAATACCAACTCTGCCACTCAGAGTTGGTGGAGGATTAAATGAACTGATATACATCTAAGAACTTTGCATTACTATACTGTAGTATGTGAATATTGATTATTTTCTCAAAACTTTTTTTCCTTTTCCTGTGTTAACAGTTAGTTGATGGCATTCACCATTCACCAAACTCTAAAATCAGACTGTCATGTCTAAAATTTTTACCAGTGTCATGTCTAATATTTATTACCAGTGTGTGATGATCAGCAAGTTACTTAACCACTCTGCCTCATTTTCCACATCGGTAAAATGAGGATAATAATAGAATCTTCTTAGTAAGTTAGGAAGACTATCTGAGTTGATACATATAAACGACTTATAAACAGTATCTGGCATTTAATCAATGTGAACTCTTATTAATTCAGGATCAGAATCTGTCTTTTATACCACGTGGTAGTGTGGTTTACTGTGGTGTTTCTGTCTCACTTAGGTGGATGTGGTTTTCTAAAGGGCAAAGACACATCTTTGTGTTCCTAGTGCCTCGTATACTTGATTATACAGGAGGTTTCAGTAAATGTTTATTGAACTGGTAGAGTTTTGGAAAGTACATATATCTAAAATTTCTAATTCAACTTTCCTTTCATTGTCACAGGAAAAAGGTCACTGGTCAGAACAGCAAGAAGAAAGTAACTCCTGAGGACAAAAGTTAAAAACAGACTTCTAAAAAGACTATATCACAAATGTGATTTTATGATTCCAGCATGAATGTTGTTTTCATGGAATACATTGTCTTATAATCACCTGTACCAAACATTTGAAATCAACTACAAGAACATGGGACTAGTGAAAAATGATCCTAAACTATCAGTGCATCATGTCAAGTTTCAATTCGTAGGTGATTTTTTAAATGATTATATAATGGAAAAAACATTCATTGACATTCATGTGGTTTGAATCCAGAGCGATGCTTCTTACAGAAGAACAAAAGTTTATGCTAAAAATAACAACACCCAAATGTGGTGAACTGGATTTTTCCCTTCCAGTGTAAAAGAGGGTGTCATGTATGCTGTGGAGAGGCGTTTGGAACCGCACTGCGAAGTAAAGTCTTGAGGTTGAATGCCCTTTCCCACCCACTTTTTTTTTTTTTTTTTTGGATGGACAAGAAGCAGCACGGGCTGTCTACCAAGAATAAACCTACTGCTCTCTTTATTTCACTGTTTCTTAATTTGTTGATGGCCTTTTGTGATATGAGCCACAACAAGATGCCTTTTATATGGCTGGTTATTCAAGTTCACTAGGACTTTAAATTCTTTGATCTATATATAAATATATTTTACCTCATCCCTATCGTAGCTCAGACCTTACTTACCTTCATAACGTTGCAGCTGTAAGATTATGGTCAGCTTCTCCCTTTCTTACTTCATTTTGCATCATTTAACCATGTTCTTTCCTGTCTCTTTCCATTTGAGATGACTTTGCTCGAAAAGTGATAAACATTTTATCCTGATAAGGAAGAATGTTCCTGTTACTTGATCCACCTCTGGCTCCGTTCTCTTACAGCTTATCTTTCCTAAGGCTTTAGGGCCCTTCATCCAGATAGTATGCAGGTCTCTGCCGAAGGTAAAGGATTATGATTGTACAGTGATAGAGACTATTCACTCTTAGCAGATTTTCCTTAGTTGCTAGTTTTGTACAGTGGAATAAAAAATCGACTTCATACATGTAAGGTACTTGGAATGGTGCCTGACATGAATGTTATCAGTACTGTAATACTATAATATAGATAACCTTTTCTCAGTAACATTTGAATTAAACTTATTTATTTCCTGTATTCTCAGTCTTTTATTCTAGAGTCAGGATGGGTAGACTGCAACTTAAATATTTTAGATGAGACAAAAATTGTTCATCTTCAGAATTTATGTAAATGGAGACCTATTGCTACAAGGTGCAAGAAATACAAGCCTGTGATTTTTTTGTTCTTGCAAACAGAGCCTTGACTCAAAATATATTCTGGAAGTAGGTGTACTGGTGCCACCATTTGCCAGTTGTTTTAAGTTCTTAATGTCTCAGAGGTTCAGTTTGTTTGTGAAATTGAGGGTAATACCGCCTATGTCTCAAGATTAGAAGTACCTAGCACTGTGCCTGACACGTCATAACTTCACAAAATATATTCCTTAACAAACATTATATATTTGGTTAGGAATACAAGTCTTGGTAACACAGTCCCTGCCCTTACAGTGTAGTGGGCATAAAGTAAAGGAACAAATAATGTGGTAGATGTCGTGTTAGACATAAGGCCACAATGCTGAGTCATCACAGGACAGCATCTAACCTGGACTGGAACTATCGTGGAACGCTGACATCCTGAGTCATGTGGTCTATGATCTTTGAAATACTCCCTTCATTTGACTTTATTTCCTCTTTTTTTTTTTTTTTTTTTTTTAGTATTTTCTCCTGTGTGATCACCCATCCTTAAAAGTGGCTACATAAATCTGTATCATCTTGATTTGTCGATGGATTAATACTGAATTTAGTTATATATCAGTTTATGTCGATTGGAACATCTGCTACACAGTTCCATCTAAAGAAGGGGAGGAATGAAGTTAGTAGACAATTATGGGGGAAAAAAGCATAATTAAATAGCTGGCTCTAGCTGAAATGAGCAAGGACTTTGAAGTCAAACTCCTTGGATTTTGATCCTGGTCCTGCTGTTTTGCAGCTGTTTGATCTGGGTAAATTACTACTACTTTTAACCTTGATTTTCTTATCTGTGAAATGCCAATACTAGCTCTTAGGGACACTGAGGATTTGAAAAAATACAGTAAAGTTCCTGACCAGTGATTGTGCCCAATAAACGATAACTATTATTACAAATTGTTTCCCAGTAAAAGCCCTGAGGCAAGAGTAAAAGATAAAGCTAATTATAATCCGTTACTTGCTAGTAAGCAAACTCCACTTGAGGGCTTGAAAAAGTTTACATTCAACTTTTATATTTACCTACAGTAGTTTGATTAGGAAAAACAAATCACAGTAAAAGTATGCCCAGGTAGGGTCGGAGCAATGAACTTTTCCAAGCACCACCGTTTTGGCCCTGATTGTAAGTATAGGGAAAACGGGGATTACCAGGTGGCTAAACACCTTCGGCTTTTAGGGTGGGTACCAAAAGGAAGCTGCCGAGTTCCTGGGAAAAAGTAGAGCTCATCACTAATCGGTGCTGTGATGCTACCAAAGGGGCATTCAAGATCCATCTATTCTTTGTGTAAAGAGTAACAATAAAAGAACACCCGTGTACCCACCATCCAGGCAAAAAAAACAGGACTCAGTGTACTGTTTCCACTGAGCAAGACGATGGTTTTTCAAACGGAGGAACGATGACGCCTTGCCGCTCGGCGGCCAGCTGGGTTCTCCACAGAGCCTTGCCTGAGAATGAACCTGGAGCCGGCACCAGACCACCCCACCAGCCCCTGAACTAGAATTGCACCTGGCGGGCCCTCAGCTGTAGCCGCGCCACGTGACGAGGGAGCGCAACTCCTCCCCCGAACGCGAAGGGTCACGTGGGCGCGCGGCCCCGCCCCGTCGCCCAGGCCGCGGCGAGGTGGGGTCCTGCGTTTGCCCCGGAAGTGGCTGTCAGGAGCTGACAGCTTCTGGGAAGGTGGCGGCGGCGGCGGCGGGCCCGGAGCAAGATGGCGCTGCGGCCGGGAACGGGAGCTGGCGGCGGCGGGGCCGCGGGAGCTGGCGCTGGGGCTGCCGGGGGCGGCAGGTGGGTGTGAAGACCTGGGCCGGGACGCGCCTCGCAGACGCAGAGCAGACCCGGCACCGGCGACGGGTGGTCGGTGGTTATGGCGGTTTTCGTCCACGCCGACCCCTTTTCTCTCGGAACTGGGCTGCGGGAGGAGGGGGCGTCCTCCGGGAACCTAGGCCGAAGGGGCGGATGGAGCCCGGGCGCCCGCCTCTTGTCCTGCAGCCTCGGGGGCACTGGCTCCTGGTGCTGAGCGGGGAGGAGAGGGGGAGGAGGTGAGTGTCCCATCAGTGCGGCTGCCTCCCGGCTGGGTGGATAAAGGAGGAACCCCGGCGCCTCGCTTCTAGCCCGGCTGGATCTGAAGCGACCAGAGACTTGCTTTTCCCAGGGCTTGACCAGGGGCTCTGAAAAATCTGTTCACAGAGCTGCACCAAGTGTTTCCAAGGTGTGTGTGTGTGGGCACTCTTTTTTTCAGTGTTGTGTCCTTTTTATTTTTTCCTTAACACACCAGAAACAGCAGGAAAATCTGAAGACGTTTGAATTAGTATATAGAGCTCTTGTAGAGGTAGTTTTAACACCTGTCTTCTTACTAAAAAACCCCTTTTCTCTCGGAACTGGGCTGCGGGAGGAGGGGTCGTCCTCCGGGAACCTAGGCCGAAGGGGCGGATGGAGCCCGGGCGCCCGACTCTTGTCCTGCAGGCTCGGGGGCACTGGCTGCTGGTGCTGAGCGGGGAGGAGAGGGGGAGGAGGTGAGTGTCCCATCAGTGCGGCTGCCTCCCGGCTGGGTGGATAAAGGAGGAACCCCGGCGCCTCGCTTCTAGCCCGGCTGGATCTGAAGCGACCAGAGACTTGCTTTTCCCAGGGCTTGACCAGGGGCTCTGAAAAATCTGTTCACAGAGCTGCACCAAGTGTTTCCAAGGTGTGTGTGTGTGGGCACTCTTTTTTTCAGTGTTGTGTCCTTTTTATTTTTTCCTTAACACACCAGAAACAGCAGGAAAATCTGAAGACGTTTGAATTAGTATATAGAGCTCTTGTAGAGGTAGTTTTAACACCTGTCTTCTTACTAAAAAACAATTCACTGTTAAACAGCACGTACGCAGTTATCAAAACAAAGCTTCCAGACTTTTACTTAGCCCTTAAACAAATTTGCTTTCTGTCAGTTCCAGCTACTAATCGCCAGTGGCTCTCAACCTGACAAGTTCATCATTTCAGGAAATATTTGATTCTGGGAAGTTTTCATCCCACTTCTGAAATGACCTAGTCTGACTTTGTTTTGCTAGCCAACCCGAGGTTGATACACATTTGGAGATAAATTTAGCTTTTTATCTTCAGCATCCTAAATTAATTTTGGAAAAGAAAGTGTTAGGTGTGTGTGTTTTTTTTTATGCAGTGTTTTATTTTGGAGTCATGAACACCACCGTGTGAAGCCTTTAAAATCATCACGTCCTACAGGTGCTTGTATATATGCCAGGAAAAGAGCAGTCACTGTTCACCTGTGTGCAGTCGCATTTTTCACCTTTTCTTTTTACATCTTTCTCTGTAGATTTAAAACTGTTTCCTTTCTCTTTTGTTTTCTGATTTCCACTGTTTCATTAGAGTTTTTCATGAATACTTGATATAAGTCAGTTTCTGGCTAGAGAAGACATATGTAATAATCTCTCTTTTCTGAATGTGACAGCAGTTTCTAAAATGTTCTTGAGTGGCATTAATTTGATCCAGCGTATGATGAGTCATGGCACCAAGTTCTGGGGAAATATAAACTTAAAAGAATTTGGCGTTCTAGGCATGGGTTTTGGGGGGGTTTGTTGTTGTTTTGGTTTGGGTTTTTTTTTGTTTTTTTCAGGTGGAGAGGAGTTTGGGTGTAGAAAGTTGAGTGGATCATTCCTCTTAGTTTGTAGTAGTTTAACATCATTGGTCCATGAACACAATTTTTTTTCTAAATATGGCCTGATTTGTGATAGAAATTAGAATGATTGACTTTAAAATTTCTTTCCTATTTAAAATTTGGTGGTAACATTACATTCTTAAGTTCTAGAGGATATGTGGGAGAGCAAATCAGCCTTATCTTGTAAAATGTGTGATAAATATTGGAGATTTTCTGAGGCTGAGAAGCTGTATGCTTAATAAAGCTTAATAAAGAAAGAATATGGTTTTTAGAGATTAGTGGTGAGGGCTGAGGTTGTTTTTTTATAAGGAAGCTAACGTTATGGTTGGTACCCTAAGTATATTTTAGGGAAAAGAAAAAGAACCAGGCAACCTTTCTCAGCTTTTAATGGAAGAAATCTGTGAACTATAATTTACTATATTTCTTAGGTACTTGTCTGTGTCCTTCCTAAGAGGCTAAGCAAAAAGCACAGGCATTTTCCAACTTTATTAATGTTAGCCTACTTTTGATTGGTATCCTAAATGGACTACTTTAGAATAAATAGTAAAGTTGTATAAAGGGCAGAATTTATGCAAGAGATGAGAAGTATAACTTGTTTTCTTTTTTAAAGTATGACAGGAAAAAAACAGTTGAAAGATCTTGATTAGACTATGTCCTTCTGGGATAGTATCATTTGTGAGCTTGTCTATTTCCTGCTTTTATAAGCTCCTTAAGGGCCTCGTCATCTTTTTATCTTCCACTGCTTCTAGCACATTCTACACATAGAAAACATTCTGTAAATATTTGTAGATTCTAGCAACGTTGTAGGCAAAGATGAGGTATTTCAATTGGGCCTCATTTCAAGGAAGAGGAAGGGGTCAAGAGATTGTCATGGAGATGGGAAAGCCCAGTGAACATTAGGGGACAGCAGGTAGGCCAGATGGACTGTGGCACTGAGTGGGAGAAAAGAGTTTTGTGAGATAAAACTGAAAAAGTTGTGTTAAAACTGGAGAGGGCCTTGAATATAAACTAAAAAAATTCAGTTTAAGGGGGAATCATTACATTGTTTTAATCCCAGGAGTAGCTTTATCAAATGGTCCCTTAGCTAGATGCACCTCACCTGTGCTATGTGAGCTGTGTTAGAAGCCACAGAGTCTGCAGGTGAGGAGATCCATTAGGAAGTCTTGCTGAGTCCAGGCCTCAGAGAGAAGTGAAGGCTGATCTGGGTTAGTAGCAAAGGTAACTGAAAGGGGAGGATGAATGAGATAGGCATGTGACAAGCAGGGCTCACAGTTCTGCTTCAAATTGTTTGTCATCTTGTTGCCCATTTTTTTGCCAAACTTTTGCTGTCTTATCAATATCTTAGCTGTTTGTCTAACCAGTCTTCAAGCATGTTGCTGTTAGTAGTGTAAACATTTCAGAGAGTCCTATGAATGGTACATAGGTCAGTTGGTAGTTTGGGTTGTATAATTACTGGAGTAAGTCATGTTTGTCAGTAATGTTCTTAATTTAGTTTTTGTTTATGTTTTTAAAGTACCCTTTATACGTCTGTACATTATTTGGTTGTCTTAGGAGCTTGGCAAACTTGTGTCCTCGTTTGACAAAGGGCAAACAGGACAAGGTGGTGAAAGGGATTGCATAGAGCTTCATGGTTACTTTGTGGCAGAGCTAGAGAAAAGAAAATGTCACTGGAGTGTCCAGTTTTTACTTAGCCACTAAGCCCTGTTGGTGATTGTAATCTTTAAGACTGATTTGGAAAGTCTGAATAGGTTGACTACTTAAATCTTAGTGTATGAGTAACTTAAAAAATTGAGTCCTACCAAATTTCAACTTGCAATTTAAACACTTTATCCAGTTAACACATTACTTAGCTAATACGTCTTGTGTGCAGTTCGGAAAAGCTGTTCACTGTTGAGACTCTTCCTTGGTGTGAGCTCGCTTGTCGGCAGAATTTGCGAATGGTTCAGACCCTCTACAAGGCTGTAATCAGATGTCATCAGATGATGTCATCTACATCAGGTAGATGTCCAACTAGCAATTTGTGAACCACCTTACAAAATAATCTTGTTGATCAACATATTTTAGAGCTAGAAGACTCTAAAGTTTGATTTTTGGCCCTTTTCCTGGGAAGGGGGAGTGTTGTGTAATAGAAAGATGCAAGGACACATAAATTTGGCATACCGTTCCTGATCTCACTATATCTTTGAAGACTATCCAGAAACCCCCTTCAGATCCTTGGCTCCCAGATTAAGGGCTTTTCCCACTCAAATTTTTTCTTCCTTGATCTGTCCCATTTCCTTTCCCTCCGGTCTCAGAGAAAGAAGTCCCTCTTCCTTTTGCTACGTTAATCCCATCCTCTCAAAAATGTTGTTTTAGCTATCACTAAGTGTATCTTTTGTATCCTAAATCTCTGTCTATGCAGGTTCCTTCCTCTTCCTCTGTTGAAACCGTTCACTCAAAGATCACCATTTTCGAAAACAGCAATCTTTATTTAGTAATCCTCATTCTTATCAGCTTCTCTACAGCGTTAGACACTTTTTCCTTAAATGCAGTCCTTCCTCAGTTATAACTCTCAGTTATAAGCAACTTCTTTGGTTCTCAGTGACCATTCCATACTCAGTTTTCACTAAGAATTCTCCACGGTTTTCCTTTGTTGTCTTCTCACTATGTATACATCCCTTTGGCTCTTTCATCCACAATCAGACTTTAATTTTTTTCTTTTTTTACCTTTATTTAAAAGAGCCTAGGTAGGGCTTCCCTGGTGGCGCAGTGGTTGAGAGTCTGCCTGCCAATGCAGGGGACACGGGTTATTTTGTCTCACCATCCTTCTCTTATATTTCTCCTTGTACCTCAAAATCCCTCTGCTTCAGTCAAACCTGGATATTAAGTACTACTGAGTCTTAGTTTATATTGCTTCTCCAA